GGGGTAGGTGGGGGTGGACGCAAGAGTGGGGTAGGGGATGGATTCGGGCTGAGAGTGAGCAAGGCAAAACATTGTACCTGTTGTGTGTTCTTTAAATATGTTTACCCGTAAAACAATACAGTTAAAATTTATTACGTGATTTATAAACAAACGAACTAATTTCATCCCAAAATGATAAATAAATTAAATAAAATATAAGACTTAGCGTTGAAATTAAAAGAAATAGCAAGTCTAGTTCCGGGAGCAAGGCTTCCGAAGACAACAGTAAGAACAGTTCTAGGCAAGAAATAAAATTATATTATTCAGTTTGATAGTAAAATGTAGCATAAGTTTTGCCAGAGATTTCGTGTCTACAATGGTTGTTGAAGCTCCTATTTATAGTTATACCTTGGGAACAAGATCCTAGGATCAAGCCCTTCTTAAATGACAATAATGGGGCCATTGCTAAATATGTAATGGCAGGCTATGAATGCCAAAATTCTCTGCAACGGATGCGTATTTAATACTGAGGAATATTATTCATTAAATGACATCCGATGATAAACATTCATTTGCCTTCGTTGACTGCGTTCCCTTCGGGATCTACCCGATACCAACCGAAGCTATTGTACTCGATCTTGGTTACCACTCGCTTCATCTTCTGTCTGCCTCCAGTTCCACATGTCATGTAATCATTCGAGCATTTAATATAAACCAAATTTACCCTATACAGATAGTCCCCCTACTTTCCGGTGGCACATCTTTGTGTCATCGGGAAGTTGGTGAAGATTCATTTCTTGGCGAAAAATTTTCTGAACCCTTCTGAAAAGTTTCTGATGCTTGATAAGACGCATGTCTCCTCGCATTTAATACCCCGAACACGTGTTACTCCATGATTTACAGTATTTTCGCCGGTTCTCGAGGTAATCATGGCCATGATTTTAGCCGCCTATATCTTTACTTATACGCCTCATTCTTCTTCCTTCATTTCTAACAACTTCATAAGCTTCCTTAACTTCTTTGCACTTAACTTCCTTCTGCTTTCATCTCTCTTTGATCTTCTTCAAAAAACTCTACCAACTTCTTATCATTATGGCTTCTTCTACTAATTCTTCCAATAACTCTGGTCTTTCCTTCGGTGGGGGCCCGAAGAGGAGCAAAGATAAAGAGGTTGATGTTGAAGCTAATCCTCCCACGGTAAGCACCATCATACCTAAATATCTGAACACTGCCAAAGATTTCAAAGAGAAGTTCCCCACTTCAAACCCTCAAACTTGGGCTGTTGATAAATACCCCTCTTCTAATCACCCTTCCAGTATTCCTGCTATGAAGGAGGACTGTGATTGACATGCCCTAAACATCATTGCTCCCGATCTGGTAGAGCAAGAAACCTTCACTAAGAATGGTTTCACGTACGTTTACACGTACTCCTTCACTTTGGGCCCATTCTCATTGAGCGGGGGACTTGACCCCGTGATTTTGGAGTTCTACTACCGATATCAAGTCTGCTTGGCACATGTAGGACCCTCTATGTGGCGAACGGTGGCTAGTCTACAGCGGCTATGCTTGGAAATGAAGGAGCCCATCACCTTGGCTCATATGATGAACCTCTACTCCCCTAAAATCTTCCGTATGGGAGTAATAAACTTCAACAAGCGTGGCCACCATGCTTTGCTTACCAGCATAGATGACGACAATGACCGTGGATGGATGGAGCAGTTTGTCGTCATTGCTATGAGGGATATTATCCCGGCCAGAACTCCATCTTTCCCTGAATCCTAGAATCGTTCACGTAAGTTCAAAATTTAGCTCTTTCTCCGAAAAAGATTGTCCTATGTCACTGTTAACCTTTTTTCTTTCGTTATTTCAGCTACTTGATGGAAACCACCAAGGGTCGAAGGCCTGGACTGATGGGTTCAGAAGATTCTGGACATCACTACGTTAGAGACGCGCCGATGGAAGGAGTTGGCCCCCAAGTATGAGTGGAGGGCCATGAACCACGGTAAACTGACTCTTCCTTCATTCCACCTTTGTACATAAAAAAACCTGCTAATCCTACCTTTTTGTTTGATTCAGGTCTCTCGCAGGGTTCTGTTTCCTGCCATGAGGAGGATGTTTTAGTCGATCCCGCAGAGGCTGCGAGGTTGTTGCATGAGGCTTTTGTAAGGCCCCGAAAAATTTCACAAAGAAATTTAAAGTTTGGTGGTGCCGGGGTAGGCTAATGTGTATAGTCCCCGTGAATTCCTATAGCTATTTCGAGCAATTTCGAGCTTAGGAATACAATTTAATGTAGACCCAAACTACATGAGAAATTTTTGCAGTGGATAAAGTTATTTGGATACTTGGGGATAATTATTTTATTAATCTTGAGTGTTGTAATAATGCGGAACACTTTGGATGTTAATTTTAAAGCAATAAGACTAAAGAAAATACATTGAGTTATCTCCCCACACAAGGGGGAAGCAGAAAATTTTAGCAAACTAGTGAGCTAAAGCCTTATAGCACAGGGATAGCATCAGTGGAAAAATACTGTACCTGATTTTAGCAAACCAGTGAGCTAAATCCTTATAGCACAGGGATAGCACCAGTGGAAAAATACTGTACCTGATTTTAGCAAACCAGTGAGCTAAATCCTTATAGCACAGGGATAGCACCAGTGGAAAAATACTTAACCTCGACCTATTAATACCTGAGCGGGGAGAGAGAAAAATAAAAGAGTTTCAAGACTAGGACTTTTCTCTCCATCACCCATCCGGCCAAGGCTTCCAATACATACTTAAGGTGAGTTTTTAAGTGTGTTTTTATGATGATTTCACTTCTCAATCACTAGTTACAACAAGGTTTTGATTGGATTTCATGGGATTTCTTCAAAATCTCAAGAACACTCCAAAAGTTGACTTTCAAAATTTGGTCTATAAGAGGTAATCTTTCACCCTTAAACCTACATGCATAGATTGTTAGTGAATATATGAGAAATAAATAAGTGCTAGCACTTATGGGATGGTGATTGGAAGTCATAAGTGCTTAATCTAGATTATTGGGTGTTATAGAGATTTTGTAATAAGTTAATTGGTAAAATTTGATGGATGTGAGTTCATTGATGATTATAATGGTGATAAGAAGGTAGTTAGTGGGAAAAGGATGTTGTAGTATCTCTTGTTGGTGGGAAGGAAAGATTGTTGGATGAAAAAATACCATTACTAGAGGTAATTGAATGCTATACACTCTGGGTGTTTGATAAAATGCCAAAATGACAAAAAACCTGGAAATATTTACTAATATTGGTCCAATTGAACTATGTTGATGTAGATTGAAGTTGTAAGAGTAGTGGGAGGTTTTAGTATCACTAAAGAGCTCCATCAAGGTATGTTGGCTAAACTTCTCTCTTAGAATTGAATCCCACGATGTTCATGTAAGTCTCAAGTTATTCATTGTAAATTAACTATTTCGAATAAGCTTTGTGTTGAAAGGTATATGTTCAAAATGTGTTCTGTATGCTCTTATCATATGATGTTATCCTTCGACAATGTGTTCAAAGCATGAGTTGGGTATAAAATGTTATGACTCCAAGTAGTATTTCAAGTGAAGGCTATTATGCCAAATTGTGTAAGAAGTCTCAATATACATAAGACTCTTAATTGCTCATAGGTATACTAAAAGTCGTTATTAGGGATTCCTTGTTGTCGATAATCTATAAAGATGCTTGAAAATGAAAGTAGTGAGTTGGGGATATAAAGTGTGAGCATTGTGCCAAGAATGAAATTTATACTTGTGGCCAATAGCGCCAATGAAATGAAATGAGCCTTGATTCAACTATTCCAAATTGAGTCCGAAAATAGAACTATCCAAAAGCTTATGCACTCAAGTCATGTACAAATGTGGTTGTTCTAACTAATGCTATGATTGGTAGGTATTTCCAATATGTTTTGAGTTATTACATATCCATGAATTGAAATTGTGTATTGCCCTTTTGGGGAAAGGTATTTCAAGAGTATTCTATATGATGATGTTTATGATGATAATCCTTGAAAGTAAAGAAATAAAAGTGCGGAATATGATAAACGGCCACAGTGCCATGAATGAAGAATAATATGTATGGCCAAGGAAGTCAATGAAATAATGATGTTGTAAGTAGTTGAAAGTAATTGTGAAGTGATATATGGTGTGAAAGGTTATGAGATGAACGTATTTGTACTTATGTTTCCAATGTGTTATAAGCTCTTATGCCCTCATGAGGAGAGGCTATGGTGTTCCTAAATATTTTAAATGTTCTTGATATCCTATGATCACCCATGGCAAGTACAAGTAAGTGATGATATGAACATGAAATGTAGTCGTTTGCCAAAATGAGAATTATGAGGTATTGTATGTCCCTATGGTTTCAATCATAGTATGTATGCTACTAAAATAATTAATGTAAATGACTTCGATGTTAAGTCCCTAAGAATCATGAACTTATCTAATGACCTTAAGATGACAAGAGAGTATATAATGTAGTGGAAGAAGGATGTCCTATGCTAAGTGACGATAAATCTTATGGAAAACGTATTTGGGCCATGTGCCATTAAAATTGACTTATTGATTTACCATACGTGTGCTAACGTAATGAGTTGTGTTTCTCCATGATGAGCATGAGCATGAACATGAAGTATTCCAATGATATGGGAAATTACGACCTTAAATGTAATTTTAATCACGTCGCTTTGAGTTTATATATGGTATTCTGATACACCTCCACCCGCATATACTGGGGTGATGTGGTAGGGCCGCTTTGTGTAGAGATTGTGGTATTGTGATACACCTC